AGCAGAAATACTGACAATACCCACGCGCCTACAGAAGGTGTACCCACCATCCTGAAAGAGCTGCCTTGCGCTGGCCCGGCCCAACCTGTATAAGCCCACCGCCATAAGAACGCGACCGCCTTTCGCTGGCCAGGCTCTGCCAAAAGCACATCAATAGCTTACTGAATGACAGCGACAACTCCCACCAAGGACAAGCTCAACGAAGTGCAGAGGAGTGCGAGGAGGTTTTGTCCGCACGCTAACATCACCATGACTATTCAAATTCTCTTTTGAAACCTGCCGCGCAGGATCATCCCGAGCATGCTCAGAAAAGTCCGCGTGCGCACGCGTGTACCCGCCGAGGACCTTCACTGGCATAGAGGGTTTCGTCCATGCTGGGAACGGCCGGACCACTTTCTGCTGTTGGTGATTGAGAACTCCCATAGCGAAACCAAGGGCTAAAGACCCGTCGACCTCGCCAAGGTAAACGACCATCATGTTGAGGTACGAGGCCACTGCGCACATCTCGGCGAGATCGATGGCGCCGCCCTTGGTGAGGAAGTCGTTAGGAACCAGTGGACCTCCGACCTACACACGTGCCACCAGATCACGACTACTGTGAAGATCCTGAATTTGCCACTCTCCGAAGGGTACAGCTGCTTTGGCTGGCAGCCAGGGGCATGACAAAGCGGCGCAAGCACCGTGGGTGTAGGGCCAGCTTAGACATAGTCGCTCTGTCTGCAAATCGCCACCGTGGTTGCAGCTGGAATCTGCCCTACGATAGCTTCAAAAACCATGTTCTCGCAGAACCGACTGCGATCCTGATGGAAGGGCTTGGACTTCGTGGAATGCCCGATGCGGCGGCCCAAATAGTTCCAACAATCCTGCGGCGACCAGACACAACCCTGGATAATACGCAATGGTGTCTCTGAGCGGACTCGACGGCGAAAAGCTCGAAGCTGCTCAGAACCTCTATCTGGGCACCCAAATTACGAAGAACAGGTCCTGCATTCTGTTCGAGCACAGCCGTGCCGATGTCGGAAACAATCCAATTCGCCAACGCGTACGGGCTCACGTCCGCGATGACTGGAGCAAGCTCCACCGCCACACGTATAAGGTGAAACGAATATGCCTCCCTTCGTCGCCTAGCAATGCTGAAAACACTTCAGCTGCTTTGACGTCCCCCAGGCGCCACGAAACGGCGGGAGGCGCGACCTAGCGAGCAACCGAACCTAAAGCTACAGACAACTCGAGCCGCGCTTGGGTGAGGGACGAGGAATGGGGACGAGGAGGAGGAGGAGGAGGAGGAGGAGGCGAGAAAGGCCAGCGTAGATCCAAAATGCACCAACGATGATGCAGTACACACCCCCGCCTCAATCCCCTCCCCACCATAGTAGCCTTCCTTATATGACTTCAGAAATGCCCCCTTGACAGACCAGCTCCCGATGGGCCTGCCGTTCCGGCGAAAGCCCTATGTGTAAAAGGACCGCGCTCGAGTCCTCCTTGGACCGCCCCCCATCGATGCAAACGTTGCATGCTTTTGCATTTCTGACCATGAACTCTGAGGAGCTCTCAAGCACGAGGCCCATTGTGACAAGAATCCGCCCTCCATCCGTCCATATGTGACACATGACCTAGGTTCTGGCACTTAAACTCTTGGGATGTCTCAAGCGAGAGCCCCAACATGTCAAGGAATCGACCTCCATCACTATAACCGCTGAAAACTGCTAAGATGACTAAGCGTTTCGTTAAAGCGAGAGCCCACTCGACAAGGGCCCACCATTCACTCGTTAAACTGTTACGAGCTGTGCCGGATATGCGCGGCGGCACGAGCATAGCCCCATTTAGAAAGCCCCCCCTTCGTCTATGAGTGTACTGTATTGTTTGAGACAAATGCGCGCGGCGCTAAGGCGAGAGTTCAATGTTTGAAAACAATCGCAGTCCATCCTTGTAGCAGTTGTAAGATGCTTGACCGAATGCGCGCGGCGTTAAGGCGAGAGCCCCATTTCGAAAACTGCCCTCTCCTTGCAACTCTTGTCAACTTTGAAACGACTGCGCGGCGCTAAGGCGACAGCTCCACATTGAATCCCACCAGCTCTTTAGGGCGTGAGTGGCTCAGCGAGTTTACTCTTCCAACCCCCTTCTTCCCCTTCGGGGAGGGGTCTATCACTGTTCCCTATGATTAAACACCCCCTCCCCCAGGCGACTGGGGGCCAACCAGGGTCCATGACGACCCCCCCCACCATTCTTTGTAAAAAACGATGCAAACCACACTCTGCCTCCGAATTCGGAACATGCGCAGCCAACCCGATGCGCGCCCCACCCCCCCCTCCATCCCTGTCAAAAAACAATACATAGTACACTTGGCGGCGGCGGCGGCGGCGGCTGCGGCGGCTGCGGCGGCGGCGGCGGCTGCGGCGGCTGCGGCGGCGGCGGCGGCGGCGGCGGCGGCGGTGGCGGTGGCGGTGGCGGTGGCGGCGCAGCGGCTGCGGCGGCGGCGGCGGTTTGGCAGCGGGGGGCGGCGGCGGCGGCGGCGGCGGCGGCGGCGGCGGTGGCGGCAGCGGCTGCGGCGGCGGCGGCGGCGGCGGCGGCAGACGGCGGCGGCGGCGGCGGCGGCGGCGGATTGACCCCCAGTAGCTGCCCATCCAAAGACGACTGCTGAATATGCCCAGTAGCTGCCCGTCCAAAGACGACTCGGGTGCTACGTATGTGTTGGGAGGGCGGGTGGGAGTGAGCGAGACGGCTTGCGGGCGGGGAGGGGGTCTTGACCCCTTCTCCTGCCCTCTACCCCTGGACCTGGAGGGGGTGGGCTGCGAGGCGTTAGAGTGTCCGAGACGGCCTCGGCGAGAAGG